AATATTTTGTTAGGTCCATCAACAAAACCTTGCCCATTCTGCCCATCGTTTTTTCCGACACAAGAGAAATTTGCCCATTGGTCTAAAAAACCTGGTTGCACCACTGTAGGGATTAGGTTGGATTTAGCTGAAACGATGATACACTAATGAAAGTGTAACTCTGATCAATCACTGTCTAGCGAATATCTAGACTGTAGAAGGTTAGCTACGCTGCAATTTTCATTCATTTACTAGGTTGGAATTAATATTTGGTCAGAGGTACCGCCATAATTCCAAATAGACGACATAAGGAATTTTATATCAAATGAAAGTCCGTCAAAGATGGAGTTTACTGATACTAAATAGGGAGGGTTACGAGGATCTTTTAATGGTAACCTTGAGAAGTTTTCAGAAACTTGATACTTTTTTGGCGCTGGAAAACTAAGATGCCAGTGATTGGACATTAGAGTAAAATATTTTTCCTAGATTGAAGAATTTTCTCGAGAAAGATTTCATCAGAAAATGATTGAAAATGCAGAACAAGAATCAAAATGAAAAGATCATTATCATCCAAAAAGAGTTTTTTAAATAGAATATTGATTCTACTTGTTCATTATGAAATGAATTAATCGAACGCAGAAGAAGAAGACATTCTGACAAATACTCTTTCAAACATTTCACCAAAAGATATCAACCCTTAGGAATAAATCAACTACAGTACGCGACAAAAGTACCACTGACAGATCAAAACTATCTAAACCTCAATAGTTTGGGCTCATATTTTTACTATAAGTAAAACTCAGTGAATCCTGATCGCAGGCAAAAGCTCGAGCCCTATCCCTTTATCAAGACTGAGATAAAAGGTCAACATGAAGGATTTTTTAATATTCCATTATCTCAAGCTAGGAATGAGCTTTTCAGTCGTTCGACCCACCGTTGGAAAGCCTAGCTCTTCCTCTCTTATTCAGTAAAATTTTTATTGCAAAAGGACAGTCATTCACAAAGTTATGGAACAATCTCTACCAATCGACCGACCTGAGATATCGAATCCTGCCCAGTATGTAACTCAAAACTCAGACTAGGCTTAATGGTTTGTCTTCAAAATTGGGTCACAGAATGCTGTACTAGGCTTAATTCTGCCCTGCAATTTTCAGACTTGTAGTTCTTGAAATAATGGAGATCCATACCAATCTATACCTCAAGACCAAGAGCCCTGGGAAATCACTATAATACAGCAGATCAAGCTATTCTTTATGCTATGAGTAGGCCATTATCAGAACTACTCTTCACACTAAAAATATCACTCTCATTTCATAGAATAAAAGAAAGCCAGCGCAATCTTTACACATCGTTATTTCTCCCTTGCAATTAAAGCAAATTAACTGAGAAAAAAAAATCAAAATCAAAAGTTTTTACACATTTTGCCTGGTTAATTCTGCTTGATTCTCAATGAGTAATGATGATGTGCACAGATTACGCTAGTTTTCTTTTATTCCATGAAATGAGAATGATATTTTTAGTGTGAATAGTAGTTCTGATGATGGCCTACTCATGTCATAAAAGACGGTTTGATCTATTGTACTATAGTGATTTCCCAGGATTCTCTGTCTTGAAGTGTAGATTGGTATGGATTTCTATTATTTTAAAAGCTATAAGTTTGAAAATTGCAAGACAGAATTAAGTCTAGTACAGCATTCTGTGACCCAATTTTGAAGACAAACCATTGAGGCTAGCCTGAGCTTTCAGACACATACTGGGCAGGATTCGATATCTCAGGGCAATCGATCGGTAGAGATTGACTCATAACTTCATAAAAGAACGTTTTTTGCAATGGAAATTTTACTGAATAAGAGAAGAAGAGCTGGGCTTTCCAACGGTGGATCGAATAGATCAAAAGCTCATTCCTAGCTTGAGAAAATGCAACATTAAAAAATCCTTCATGTTGACCTTTTATCTCAGTCTCGACACAGGGATAAGGCTTGAGCTTTTACCTGCGAACAAGTCTCACCAAACTTTACTTGTTGTAGGAATTTCAAAGCAAATAACTCCTATATAGATGGTTTTTAGCATGTTGCGGGACTTTTGTCCACGACTGTATTTTGAAGATTTTCATCTTCAAACAAAGTGCATCGAGTTAATGATAAGAAAAGAGGATATTTCGCTTGGTTTATGATTGATTTAAGACGATTCGGTTAATGAGATCATTATTATTCTGTATAAAAGGTATATTCACATCAGTTTTAAGATGAATTCTATTCAACAAATCACTGAGAAAGATTTTCAGAGAAGAATTTTTCTTTAAAAAAACGTTTTTCTTCCTCAATTCTATGCGACGATCGGCGAAATAAAACTTGAATAAATTTCTTTTTCAAAATAATTCAGTCATTTTTCGGAAGAATTTTTCAGGACAAATTCGTCAATAGTCAACTTTGAAACAATATTCTTCTTGAGAAATGTTCTCATCATTATTTAGGAAGAAACAATTGATTTTCTCTTTGAATGTTTCTTCGGAATGATTTCAATCAGATCAATCAAGCGAAATCTCACTCTAGTTTATTCATTTCTTCATTCGAAAATAACCACTTTTAAACAGAGAACTTTTCTTTTTTCATATCTAGAGACAATTTGTTTATTATCATCTATCGAGTAGCGTATTCAGATCGAAAAAAAGGGTAGTTGAAAAAGACTTTATTGAGGAAATGTGATGTGCTTCTAGTGGAAACTCCAATGAATATTGTAATCAATCACACTCCGTCTCCCTCTCAAGCACATCACCACCAATTGTATACTACTTTCCTATATCTCTTTGTCTTCACCTCTCCACAGACGGAGAGTGAGATCACAAGATGAAGAGGGAAATGATGTATTCATTCGATTGTAAAATAAAGTTGAAAAAGGAAGCACGAAAGGAAAAATATTGTTACATGGACGTCTTTTTGTCTAATACTATATAAGACAAAATTATTTTAAAATCAATCATCTTCATAAAACGTTCACAAAATATATAAAAATGGTGTTTCGTTTTGGTTTAGACATATGTTTCAGGTAGCGAGCCTTCAGATCTATAGTTCAAGGGACGATCCAAGTTACTATCTTCTCATATTTCAATGCTGAACAGACAAAATCACGTATGTGTTCGGTTAAATTATCAGAATTTTGTTGATTTTTAAGTAAATTTTTTACCTTTTTATCAAAATTCCTTGAAATAGAACATCATTTTCAGGCATTTTTTTGAATGTTTTGAGAAGATGATGAATGTTAGAATAATTTTTGTCTTATATAGTATTTAATAAAAAGACGTTCGGAGTCCTCCTTTTTCGATTTCTGAAACCCACAGGTCACTAACTGTTGCCATTGTCGAATTATTGAGCTTATACTCACCTCACTTCGTTTTCTGGTGCGAGCATTAGTTTGACAGAGTTATAATAAACTGTTTGAAATTGAACAGAATCTGATAGTCTTCTTAAATACTGTGGGTTTTTTCTGTTAATGATTTTATAATAAATGGTAAAATAACTACATGAATTAAAATGCGTTAGTATCTATCTTCGATTATTGAATATGACAATTTCTGATTAAATATTTACATTGATAAAAAGCAAATGATATTATTTCTCAAAGAAAAAAAAAAGAAGAAAGTGAAAACACAAAAATACAGTATATGTGCGTTTTATATATGATTGAGGAAAAAAAAATGAAACGAATATTAATTGAAAGACTCATTCGTTAAAAAAGACGAATAAAAACATAAAACAAATATTCGAATCATTTCAAAAACTATTATGAATAATTATTTATTTGTATTGTTTTAAAATATTCATTTCCTTCAATTATACGTTGATATAAACGTGATGCTACTGGAAAATATTCTTCATTCCATAATTGTTTATTTAATTCATCTAATGATTCATCATCAGTTGACTCAAGATTACTTTCATCTTTAATAATAATAAAAAAAAAACATGTAATTTTAAAATAAATTTCAAAAAAAAAAAATTTCTTACGAAGAGATTCATCAAAAAGATTAAGTAAAATTTTAAGTTGATGTGCAGTAAACCAAAGTGGTTGACTATCAGCTTTTTCATAATTATTATCGCAATAATTCCATAATGCTTTACAAACAAGACTAAAACAATTAATTATTACTTTATAAAATTTCTATACCGAACACTTTAGACTTTTTGACATAAAAAAAAAAAATCAGGAAGTAATTTCATGTATATTACGAAGATCAGATATTACTTCGGATAGAACCAAATAATACTACTTAGTATTTAGTGTCTTGATTTGGTAATAAGATTTCGAGATTTTCATAGAAAAACATACAAATTTAAATGGAACGAAAAATAGTTTAGATTGCATAAAACGGATCTAAGATGATTACTAATGAAGATAATATGTTCTTGAAAGTATTATTGAGTTTGATGAAAAAGACATTTCATTCGATATCTGAATTTCTATCGACAATTCATTTCACATCATCGAAGTAAATCTAAAACGATTCATACTGTCCAACATAAAATTATCAAGACCTGATATTTAAGTACAGAGCAAACGTACAGATTCTATCTGTATGCACCAACGCACATTTGGTAAAAATATTGGAAAATAATTAGCTATTTGAATATTTTTTCATTTTAGGAATTCGAATTACAAAATATTTCTCTTTGTAGAAATATTAGTAGTACACAGCTTCTGTAATCTATTTATAGAGAAGTATCAAAACAACTTCTTTTATTTAACTATAAAATTCATTAGTTTTTTGGAGTGAAAATTGCATCTAATTATTGATGATTAATAAAATTGGTATGTTAAGTAAATCGATTTTTCTTTCACTATCTTTGAATGTACAAGTGAATCTATTATTTTCATAGCAGGGAACATTTTTTCAAGACTTTATCACCAGTTGGGGGAGTAATTGTTCGTTTTATTGACAGATCCGGTACCCTTAGTACACAGGTAGAAAAGCAATGTTGGATACATGTATATTTAACCCTAAACTGACATGGATTTTAACTCTATTGTGTTCCGTCCTTTAGCAATATTGTACAACTCCAAAATCATTATTTCGATGCATTACAAATATTTTTTATATAAGTAAAATTAAGGGTGACCGAACTTTTCATTGCAAGTCAAAACATTCCAATACGTTTTCTGTATGTGGATGTTAACAAAAGAAACATCTACACTCTTACAAAGTCATTTTTTGATTTGCAAATATATAGCATTAAGAATGATTACGACATTTTGTTTATGCAACGAAAATTCTAGCACCAGGACTAAGTTATCGTTGTCTTAGATTCATTTCGAGAAAGAGAATGTATTTTTCATCTATTATTATGATTATAAATTAAAATATATAAGATAAGTTAGATAAATCCATCGATGGAGTTGAACTTTTGAAAAATTTTCAATTGCAATTGGTTTTTCACTAAACTTACAGCTTTAGTTATAGACTAAACTATACATAGAGTTAATTACCGTTTCTTCATAGAAGAAATTTGAAAACTTATAATGATATTTAGTACTTTTTTTTTTTTTTGTTATAATGAAAACTTACCTTGATAATTGCCAATCTGATTGAATTGAATATTCAAAAATATTTATCAAACTAAAAAGAAAAAAAGTACAAATAAATGAAAATTTATATTTGTAATATAATCTAAACCTGTCAATTCCATGATGAATTTTCAAACATTCTCTTTTATCTTCATCAACAGTTAAATTAATTAAAACTCCAATAACAGCATATAATAATTCAACATTATCCGATTGACAATGATGAATTGCCAAACGATCAACTAAATTCATAATTAAATTTATTTATTTAAATTTTGTTTTTATATTTCTTTTTCTAACCTTTACACTTCATTAAAATATCACGAATTCTTGTTGTTCTTGATAAATTTCCAAGTACACGAAATGCTTCAACAACACAATCCATTCTTTCTTCATTTCGAATATATTTGACCAATACTTAAAAAAAAAAAAAAAAAAAAAAAATCTCATATATATATATTTTTTTGCTTCTATTTCAATATTACATTGAGCAAGTGTTTCAGAATTTCGATTAATATAACTGTGTGAATCATCATAATATGATAAATTATTTAATGCCATTAAAACATGTACAAGTAATTCTTCACTATGTTGATTTGGTGCTTCTAAAATAGATAGAAAAATTTTTTTTTTTCTACTAAATAAATAAATAGATAAAAAAAACAAAATCTTACTAAGAAGTTTAAATAAAAGATCAATACAATCATCACGTCGAATAATAATTAAACCATTTTCTTCTGATATAGCTAAATTACTTAATACACGTATAACTTTATTAATAACATTTTCAATTGAACGAAATTGATTTGTATTTGGATCATCAACAACATCAACATCTTGACTTGTAGAATCATTAGTATCAAGTTTATCAGGTTTTAATACCTAAATTAATAATTTACAAAAAAGAACTGAATCGAAAAAAAGAAAAAAAAAATTTACAAGAGAATCAAGTTGAATATATGAATGAAGAAGTTTTGTTAATGTTTGTAATGCATGTGAATCTTTCATAAATGTTAAACGAGCATCTTCACTTTTAGCCATCATATTACCAAGAATAAAGCAGATACGAACAACTAATGCCTTGAAAATAAATTAAAAAGAAAATTATTTAACTTATTCAATAAATAAACAATTTTCTTTGTATGTTTTAAACTTCAAATATTAACATTAGAATTCTAATCTATAAATTGTTATAAATTTTTGAATGATTCATTATTTTATTGAATATAAGTTAATATTACAGAAAAACTCAATGATAAGTCGATGAATGTCTTCAGTGTACATTAAAACTGAACTTTATACTTTTTCCAAATCATCTTTGAATAATAATTTTGTAGTCAAATCAAATTTTTCATTATAACAAAAATTCAAAACAAATCATTTGAACAATAATCAAGAAATCTCAAAAGCACAGACGATATGCATAAGACACAATCTTCTTTTTTTTAGTTGATATGCTATTAAACTCAAATTTAACATCAATCTAATGTTATTTGTAATTGTACAAGTACAAATGCAGATAGTCAAAAAAAGAGTACTCGAACATCTAAAAAATTATTCATATTTTTTTGGTTCATGTAGTAAAAAAAAAAACAAAAGATAAAATTTAGTCTTCTTGTTGATAGAGTGTTATCTGTAGACAAGTATTATCTAATGTGAATATTTGAGATGTTACCATAGCTCTCAAATTCTGAAAATTACGTATGTTTTCAAGTCATGTAAAATGAAACTTGTTACTTTTCGTATATCGACAAACATTTACTTGTCATTCAAACAACACGAATCGATACGAATAATAAAAAAAAAAACTAAATATTATTTTGTACGAATAATAGGATATAATTAATTGATATGACAGACATGAATATTATTTTGAAAATCAATTTCTATTTTCTTCATACCTGATTACTTTCATGTTTAATAAGTATTTTAAGAAATGAACGATAGCATGATGAACATTGCACAAGTTTCATACAACAATCAGTATGTTGAGTTAATTTACTAAATCATTTAAAATTTTTTTATTTTTAGACTAATAAAAAACAGAAAGTCAATATTTACCTGAATAATCGTGCGACATTTTTCATCAAATTTTCATGAGATTTATCGGTAAAATATTTTAATATAAATGTTAAATGTTCGATAAGATCATCGGATAAGAATTCTTGACGATTAACATCATTATCAGCTAAATTTCTCAATGCACTTGTCAACTAAATTAAAAAAAATATATATATATATGTTTTGTTTTATCAAACAAAACAAATATGAAAGATTTACTGGTGTTAAACATTCACATAATTTGTCAGCAAGTTGTGTTTGATCTTTTAACTAAAAAATAAATAAATTTCAAATATTCAATAAAAAAATTTCCAATAAATTTCTTTACTCGAAGAAGATTTTTTAAAATATTTTTTATTAATTCAAATGGTTTTTTCTCGGAAATTAAACAAATAAGTTCATTATTAACAGTTAAATTTTGTAATGTTGTACAAAAATAAGCAATAGCTTCAAGATTTTGTTCAACATCAACACGTGGTATTGTTTCAAAAAGAAGATCTAAAATTAAATTCAAAAAAAAAATAAATAAATTCTTTTTTGTCATTTTTTGAAAATTTTACCAAGAATATTTGAATTTAAAAAAAAATGATCATTCGTTTTTTTTGAAGTTAAATCAGCTGTTAAACGAATTATATGTCGTAAATTATTTGAACTACTTATTTGAAACTAAAAAACAATGAATTTATTTATTGATTTTTTAAATTTTTATTAAATTAAACTTACAGCAAGACTTAAACGAACAACATGAAATCGTACAATTGAATTATCCGATTCAATAAAACTGAATAATGTTTTAAGTAATTCTCCACGTTTTTTATGACTTTTTTTTCCAAATAAATTATGTTTTGATAAACAACTATAAAGATCATTACATGTCCGATCAAATTGTTCAAAATGATTTTCTATAAGAAAATTTTTGTAAAGTCTTTTTTTTTTTATTAAAAAATAATTAAGTACTTTGATAAGCACTTATAAGTGTTTCAATTAATGGACCAATTTCATGTTTCCAAATAAGATTTTCTTCAGATGAATCATCTTTTGTTGATGCTGAACCTATATTTTATTTAAAGAAATGAAGTTTTTTTTTTCTGTACTAAAAAAAGAAAAAGAAGAATTCAAACTAACTCATTCGACGATGTGATGATTTAGTAGTTGTTGATGTAACATTTGATCGTTGATGATGATTTGATGGTAATGGAGGTTTTGTTTGACTTGAAATGCTACTATCACCTGAACTTACTTGATCCTGGGATGGTTGATGATTAAGTTTTGAAAGTCTAATTATATTAAAATTATAATTATATTTATATATTTAATATTATTAATGTCTATTAAACATATTGTTAAAATACGAAAATGATTATGATGTTTAATGACTAATTTCTATTCAATCTAATATTTATTTATGATTATGAAAAAAATCAAAGCTGATAACATACAAGTGTTATCTAATAATATTTAAATATGAATAATATACCTTATTGGTGGTGGTGCTGCGACGAGAGTAGAACTATCAGATATTCCTGCGATTGAACCTAGTTCATAGATTTTTCGATAATAATAAAAATATTCATTATCTTACCTTTTGAATTTCGTCGTATAACATCTGCTGTCTAAATTATGAATTATCTATTAATATTTTAATTATTTTAAAAAATAAAATGTCTTACTTTACTAGACATTGGTCGTGATTCAGTTTCATAATCAATTGATATTGTACTAATATAAAAAATAAAAATATGTTTTTGTTTTTGTTTTCTTCTTCTCTTTCTAGTATATTTTAATAATTTACTTTAATGAAGTTGTATCATGATTAAGTTTACTTAATATATATCTTGAGTCATCACGTGGTGTATAAGGACGTGATGTTGGCATATCTTTTAATGATTGTTTAGCATTATTAATTATTTTCGATGGTACATTTTCTACCCATGATGGAATTTCATAAAAAGCCCTTGGACTTTCTCGACTATTTCGACGTTTCATTTGTGTTGAACCTGGATATCCAACAGGATTTTCTCTGCCGGATGATGAATGAGTACTTCCACTTGGTGAATTACTCATGATAATAATCTATATTTTGTCTTTTATTTTATCTGAAAATAAAATAATAAAAAAATTTTTTTGAATGACTCATTCATAATTATACTTCTTATATTTATGAGAAAACAATAATAAATACATACTGTTTTTTTGTATTTGACAAGATTATCGCCATTAATCATAAATAAATGCAAACATTTCCATGGAAATCAAAATACCTATGAGATGTAATTACGAAAAAAAAAATTCTTTTTTTTTTATTTTTATTTAAAAATATTTTTTATTTGTAGAAAAAAAAAATTTTTCTTTAAATAAATTTCTTATAATAAAAAATGAAGTCAAATTAAAAAAAATAACAATAGGTAAAATATGGATTCAATGGATTTTGTTATATTTATTTCATCAGTTCGTCGGTGTGTGTCTGTAATAATCATAGTCAGTTGATATTATTGAAATTCGTGAAAAGCAGCAAATATGGGCAAGGTAAGAATTTAATTTTGTTTTTTTTATTTTATATATATGAATTTTAATATTTGATTAGGGTTATGAAAATTATATGTCAAAAAAATGGTTTCATCCAACGAATATTGGAAATATGAGACGTCAATATATGGCTGAACAAAAATCAGCTGGTGAAAAAAAAGCGTCAACAAGAATTACGTGAACAATATGAACGTGAACAAGAATTATTTTCAAATAAACAATTAATGGGTGATGAAAAAGCACGTCTTGGTCTTTCTTTTATGTATAATCCACCAGTAGGTATGGCTAAACAAGAAGAACAACAACTTCAAGATCAAGAACTTCGACGTGCTGATGGAACATTAATTATTAAAAAAGATGAACCGAAATTTGAATGGCAAAGAATATATAATGCACCAAGAGAAGCATGGGCAAAAAATGATGAAAAAATTCGAGATCAACCTTTTGGTATTGAAGTCAGAAATGTAAGTCTCTTGTTTTTTTTTCTTTGTATTATTAGAAATTTATTAAATGAAAGTTTTTATAAGATTAAGAAATATTGATAAGGATTATGACAATATCAGATATTCTTTAAACAAAGAGGCAAAAAATATTGTTTTTGTATCGTAAAGATCTCCTATACAAAATACGCAATTAAATAATGTTTCATAGGTCGGAAATATTCGCTTGTTGGTTGAATGTATTTTAGAACATTGAAAAATATATTCACGATTTTTTTTATAAAATCTAATACGTTTTAAAAAAGTAAATCTTGATAAGTCATTTATTCAAGGAGAAAAACAAAAAGATCGATGAATGATTATTTCTTAAGTAAAAATAACGAGGGAACATACTTATGTAAGAATCTCTGTTTTCAATCGACTTTTGTGTCAGTGTGTAGAGGTCGATGAGTTGATCATGGTAACATAAAATGTTCTTCTCTATTGAATGTCTTTAAGGAGTAAAGACGATCTCAACTTCAAAGAAATAACTATTAGTTGTTATTTCGAAAATTATAATTTTTATGTTAGTTTAGTTCTCAGCATTGAAAACTTGAACAGTGGATACGTCTTAATTGACTGTACACATTCACATAATAAATAGAAGTTTTAATAACATCTATACTTTGAATATTTCAATATCATTAATGTTGTTGATGTACGGACTTTAACTGTTTTCTCAAAATTCACAGCAGTATTCAGATTTCCTAGACAGGAAATTTCAAGCATTTGTGTTCTACATTGTTCAATATCTCCTAAAATTCTGAAATTTCCAATACTTCTAAGAATTTTTGATTTTCACTGCTATGCGATTATCGAGCAGATAGATATTTTCAAGAAAGGAAATTACCCAAATTTCTGAAATTTCGATCAGCTTGATAACTATATAGCAGTGCAAATCAAAAGTTTTTAGACATATTGGAAATTACATAATTTTAGGAAGTAACGTGAAATTCAGAACAAAAATGCTTGAAATCTCCGAAACTTCTGAAATTTCCTTTTTCGGAAGTCTGAACACTGCTAAACATATCTCAAAATTTATCTGCTTTCAATTGTATGTTCACTTACTTAAAACATATAAGTTGATCATGTTTCAATAATCTGTCTTATCTATTGTAGTTTTTCACATAAACATACGAGAAAACATCTAAATAGAACGTAGAGACTATTGAAAATGATACATCTGATCAAGCTTGAAAATATAGTTCAATTCCGTACATCGACAATATTAATGATATTGAAACATTCAATGTATAGATGTTATTAGAACTTCTATTTATATTTATTATGTGGATGTATACAGTCAATTAAAACGCACTCTAGTGTTGAAGTTTTTAATGCTGAGGACTAAACTAACATAAAAATTAAATTCTCCTAAATAATAGTTCAGAGACACTCCATGGAAAAAAACGCATTATGCCATCGTGATCAGCTTATTGAGTTTTGCAAACTGGTATAAAACCGATCGAAAACAAAAACGACATGAAATCTAACAGTTCACAATATGTTCTCCAAGTGTTGAATACTGGTTTTTTTTTGGAGCATATTTTTCCATAGATGTAAATCAAAATAAAAGATAGTTCTATACGATATCGATCCTCCAAAAAATGATTTTCTATATAAATCATGAATTAAACTATCTAAATGATACTAATATTTGGAGAAAAGAAAAAATTTTTGATTTTTTAAATATTACAATCGATATTACGAAAATTATTTCTCAGGGATTTATTTTTGAAATTTTTATCATTTGATATAATCAACATAGTATTAAAATAAATAATAAAAAAAAAAAAGAAAGTAATTACTTATATAAAATTCTAATCAGATATGAAACTTTTCTTTAATAATCTAAACTATTTTTTGTTTAGGTACGTTGTATAAAATGTAAAAAATGGGGTCATGTAAATACCGATAAAATTTGTCCATTATATGGAAAATCTCGTTTTGATAATGATTCAAATCATCCAATAAGTCAATTAACTTTAACACAAAATATGCCAACAACGAATGAATTAATTGAAGATTTACATAATAAAGGTTTAGCTATGAGACGTGGTGGAGCAGAACATATGATAGCTCATAGTGATATTAATAATGATGATATGACAAATCGAGGAAAACAAGATGAATTAAAAACGGAATTAAAATTTTTAAAACAATTACCAACACAAATGAAACATCGTCTTATTAAACGTTTAAAACATTTAGAAAAACGCGGAGCAATTAAAGTTTAATATTGATTTTGTTTGTTTTTTTGAATTTACTCTTGATTGTTTATTTTAAATATATGTATATCAAACTATGTATATTTCAGATAAATTCTTAGCCAAAAAAAAAACAAAGACTTTTTAAAACTTATGTTTTCAATTCTTATTGCTGGTCGATTAGTAAGTCTTTTTTCAAATGAATTAATAATTTTAAAAAAAATAAATAAATAATTTTTGTTTTTGATAGCCACAAATAAATTTTCAACAAGTAAGCGAAACACAATTCGTTATACCAGTATCAGATGTTGATAATGTTAATCATCTTGTTGTATTCATGACTGGTCAAATACCATTTCCTGAAAATTTTGGTGGTGGTGGCAAGTATATGTAATATTTTTTCGACTTATTTTTCGTCTCAAATGTTTGTCTTTTTTTTTCAGTTTACTTTAGTTGGCCAAGTACAGAAAGTCCATCGTGGATTTATCTTGGAAAAATAACGAATACAAAACCAAGTGCCATTTTTAAAATTAATAAAATAAAAGGTTTATTGTCGTTTATTTTTCTTCTACAAAATTTCTAAAAATAAATAATCTTTGTTTTTTTTTTTTTGTTTAGATATTGAATCTAAAATAAGTTCATCATTAGTACCAAGTTTATTTAGTGGATTTCAACATCAAACAGCCATACCAACGGATGGTTTATTAGGTATAAGTGTTGAACCTTTAACTCAACTTGAACAACAAATTCAACCACATGATATAACACCATCAACAGTTGCATCAAATGTTGAATTTGTATCAAAAATGCTTAATAATTTTGTTAATTATGTAACATCATTTGTTCAAAATGTTCCTGGAACATCCGAACAAATTGTTCCATTAAGTATAATTCAAACATGGTATAGTAATTTTCAACGACGTATGGCTGAAAATCCTAATTTTTGGAAATAATAATATTAATATCAACTTAAAAATAAAAACATTTTATTTACATGCATGGTTATTTGTTTTCTTTTTTTTTTTTTTTCTCTCTTTCTTCTTTTATTAATTCAGCCAAAACAAAAACAAAAGACATGAAAGCTTGTTGTATAATAAAATATTTCAGATATATACAAAGTCGTCCACATTAAAATAAAACAAGAATTGAAAAAATGCAAAACACTGACGGAATACCAACAACAGAACAAATTGAATTATATGTTCCAAGAAAATGTGCTGCAAGTAATAAAATAATTGCAGCTAAAGATCATGCTGCTATTCAATTGGATATTGCTGAAGTCGATGAACAAACAGGACGTATAACTGGTAAAAATCGTACATATGCAATATGTGGTTCAATTCGAATGATGGGTGAAGCTGATGATTCACTTTTACGATTGGCTGGAAGAGATGGTTTTATTGGAAAAGGATATTCTACTAAAGACACAAAATAATACAAAACAAATATCTATTTTTCAATAAGCATTGATATTATTCTCTCATCTTTGGTTTTTTTTTTCTTATTTTTTTGTTTCGATCTTTATTTGTTATTATGTATTAAGAAATAGAAACTGAGAACGAGAGAGAAAAACACAAAAATAAAATAAGAAGAAAACGTTTGATTAATAAAAATTTTCTTAATCATAGACTATATCGAAAAGATTATCTTTTATATACAATATTCAAAGAAAAAAAAAAAGATTTCTAAAGTATATATATATATAAAGAAAACAATTTTATTCATTTAAAATTTTTATTTTAACAAAAAGAAAGTTTTTCTAATGAGAAATATTTCTCATTTGTTTTAAAAAATAATAATGAACAGAGATAGATGTTGTCAATCAAAATCAAACATTTTATGTTGAATATCATATTTCGATTTGTAATTTATCATTTTTAAAAATAGAAATCATATAAATAATATTGAAGATTAAATTACAGATTCACATCAACATAGACATTTTCAATTTCAAACAATCTATAGAATATCAAAAATTGTCTCGATTCATTGAAGTCATTTTTTGTGAACAATTCTTTATAAGAACAAACTATTGTAAAATTAATTATCATAACTTGAAATTTAGTGAAAACATCTTCTTTCATTATAAAATAATTTCAATCATTTTAAAGATTGCTCTAAAAAGAACAAGACAAAATTGTTTTGAATATATTATTATAATTTTGTATACAATGTAAATTGTTAACAGTAAAATAAAGTTTTCAAATATTCTATTATCTTATCATTATGATAAACAAGTTTTCTTATTCCCGAGTGTGAAATATACAAGACAAATAATCTTTAATATCAATCGATATTTTGAAAAGAATTATAAAAATTATTGAAGTATGATAAATATTTAAATCTATTTGTTTATTAAATAGAAATATAATTTGTATTTCAAATATTTTATTCATTCATATTTTGCTGAATATCATATGCTTTCATGTTGAATAGACTTGTATATTTATCTGAATCACGGTTGAAAAAAAAAAAAAAGAAATTTCTTCCTACGACATAACAATTGAAATATTTGTTAATCTGAATGTATAACATTTATTAAATAATTTTCAATATCATATGATAAAGATCAAGATTAACTTTAATATAATTTATATTTGAAACAAAAAAATTTAAACTATTTTTCAAAACAAAAATCCGATCAATACATAAAAGCTATGTCATTTGTTGTTTTTCTTTAACTGATACTACGCCAATCTCTTAGGCAATACTGTTGATTTGTGCACTTAAAAGCAACTTTTTTTTTTGTTTTTCTTTTTTGCTTGTCGTTTATCTTATTTAGTTAAGTACTTTACGATAGGAAATAAAAAGAACATTCTAGGTTGTTTTTTTTCAAATGTCAGATTCTTCATATTTTTTTGAAAAGAGTAAAGTAAGATTTGCTTGATTTTATAGAAAAAAAAAAACGATAATAGGAAATCATGTATTATAATTTTTAATAAAATCATTTTTTTGTTAAAAGAATTTCATAAAGAAACTTTTGTAATTGCAGAAATATATCTTCTTAGAATTAAAAAAAACAATCATAAAAATGTTTATTGTTGTTATTTATAAAATATTTATTTCCTATGATTGTTGTTTATTTATTTTTCTTTAATTGAATAAATTCTATTCTTGAAAGAAAAAGAAAATGAATATATTTCGATTATTAAAAATATATATTGGACTTTCATCTATTCCTAGTGACTCATTGAACACATATTGACTAAAAAATGGTTAAAGATCAGCTGTTTTTGTTTATCAGCTGTTCGTTAATATATGATTGGTCGCTGATTCTTCCATCCGAAGAATTGATGTTCGTCCATCATCATTCCTCCTCCTTTCGTTTATTTCACTCGTCCGATGTAATGGATGGAGGAAACCGACTCCGTCTCTTTCTCTAGATTAGTAAAAAAAAAAAAGAAGAACAATACAGCTGTTTGTTTTCGAACGAGTGTATGTGTGTTGTTACTTCTCTTTTGTGTGTTATGCGTACTAGTAGAAGCATCATCACATACACGTGAAGCAGAAGAAACAAGAGAGAGAAAGTGAACACACACACACACGTCCGCCGCCGTCCTCTTCTTCTCTCTCTGCTGTCTGTCTCTTCACTCTGCTAGTTAAATAGGCAGTGGTGGGAAGAAAGAGGTTTTGCCTGACATCATCATCATCACAGCACATACGCAACAAAACATCTATCGAAATAAGTACGATTCATTTTCATTTACAATTACTAAGAGCAAAAAAAAGGAAAAATAAATATATATATACTAGAAAACAAAAATATTGTTTATTTACTTATTTATTTATTTATTTATTTATTTGATAGAAATGTCTCCATCAAGTCAAACCCTTCAATCATATTATAATGAATTTTTACGTTGTGCTATATGTTCACATGATTTTGAATATGATAATTATTTATATCGTCCAATAACATTACCAATATGTGGTCATACAATGTGTGGACAATGTATTGATATAATACGTAATCAAACAAAATGTCCACAAGATCAAGTTTCATTTAGTATAAATAATATACCAATTGATCAATTACCAACAAATTATCCATTATTATTTATTGTATATGACACAATTAAAGTATTAAATAATGAAATAAATATTTTTTTGTTTATTTATTTATTTTGTTTTGTTTAGTTACCTGATGATAGTGAACAACGTTATGGTCAATGTTTAGCTTATATGAAACTTGATGATGAAACAAAATCATATTTTAATCGTACACAAATAATTCTTATTGAAATAGCACTTTTAATTAAACCTATAAGTAAAATATAAAAAATAATAAAATAAAATAAATATTTTATTTATTTATTTATTTATTTTAGTTAATGATAAAGATTATCAATCAGTTTTAAGTCGTCCAATGATACGTAAAATATTTAGTTTATTAAATAGTCAATATATTGATCGTGAAGGTCGTTTAAAAGCTCTTAAAGCAGCACGTAGTCTTGGTGAACGTACATGTATCGATTTTATTCTTCATCATCAAAATCCTCAACAATTAACAGCTAATCTTTGGTCAGCTGTTCGTTCACGTGGTTGTCAATTTCTTGGACCAGGTTTTCTTTGTTTTTAGAATTTAAATTTTATATTTTTTTTTATACAAAAAAAATTTTCTTTTAGCTATGCAAGAAGAAGTATTAAAATTAATATTATTAGCACTTGAAGATGGTTCAGCATTATCACGTAAAGTTCTTGTTTTATTTGTTGTACAAAAATTAGCACCACAATATCCACGTGCAAGTAAAACAAGTGTTGGACATGTTGTACAATTACTTTATCGTGCATCTTGTTTTAAAGTAATACAATAAATTTCATAAAAATTTTTCTTTGTTTGTTTTTTTTGAGACGAAATTGAACTTTGGACTTTGAATTTAGGTACAAAAACGTGAAGAAGAATCTTCTTTAATGCAACTTAAATCTGAATTTCGAAATTATGAAAATCTTCGTCGTGAACATGATTCACAAATAATTCAAATTGCTATGGAAGCTGGTAAGGAAGAAGTTTTTTTTTTTCATAATATCTTCAATTTATGTTTAAATTTCTGTTTGAATTACACAATTATTCTAATTATTTATTTCTTTTTTTTATTTTTGACGTTTAAAAATAATTCATATGAATTTGTTTAGAAATAGATTTGATATTCAATAGCATAATAATCAGAAATTCGAAGCACAATATAGACAATAAAATTTATTTTTTTAAAAACTAAGAAATCAATACAAACTTTTTATCAGAATCATCACTTTTAAAAAAAATAGTTAGTTTTGTAAATACTTAACGATAAAATAAGAATTGACTTTTAAATGTACACTTTCCCGTAAGGCATTGAGAAACATCGACTAATTGTACTATTTATTATATTTCTATAGTAGTCTATAATAATACAAATGAAAATAAAATTAATTTAATATGTTTGATTGATAATAAATAAATAAATGTTTTTTTTTTGTTTATAAAAGGTCTTCGTATATCACCTGAACAATGGTCATCGTTGCTATATGGTGATACACAACATAAATCTTCAATGCAATCAATAATAGATAAACTATCTACACCAGCATCATTTTCTCAAGCAATTCAAGAATTTTTAATTGTATTACAACGTGCTGGAGATTCATCAAAACATTTATCACATTTAAAAACTGATTTTGAATATTTATCACAAATTGATATAGGTAATAATGATCAACAAATAATTATAAATGATAATCAACAAGATAATTCAACTTGGTCATTAATTATACAAGTTTTACAATCAATTAAAACAGTTTTACAATCATTAATTGAATTTAATATTCAAGAATCTAAAACAAATTATTTAAATAAAACACATCATTATCATCATCGTTCATATGATTTATCATCGACAACATTTACATCATCAACATCATGTTCATCACCAATGACCGTTTCACCATTAGGTGGAAGTAGTACAACATCAGAATATCATTTACAACCATTACATCCACCAACATCACAAAATAATCAAATCAAATATAAGGTTTTTATATCTTTTCTTTTCTTTTTGAAATTAGTTCATCTACAATATTAGACTATTCTTTGTAGAAATCTGTAAAGTAGTTTCAATTTAGATTTTTTTAAAAGTTATTTACCCAAAAAACAATTTGTTTTTTTTTGCGAAAAATTTCAACTTGATAATTTTATATTTATTCTTTCATTGTAATACATTTATAAAAGTAAAAAATTTTTCTTTTTAAATATGAAATTTAGGTATCAATGTGTCGTGATTTTGTTCAAAAACAATCATGTCCACGTGGTGTTCATTGCACATTTGCACATTCAAAAATTGAAATGGACAAATATCGTGCTAAAAGTCGTTATTCAAATGGACCAATATTACCATTATCATCATCATCGAATAATAATATTCCTGCTCTTCCTCCTCCTAATTCTCAACCTCCAACAGG